AGGAGGAGCCAGAGGAACTTGATGTTTTCGAAGATCATCTGTCTCATGTATTACTGTCAGGATATAGTGAAAGTTTCAGCAAATATGCCCAAAATATTTTTTTTATAAAAGTTACTTACTGCAGCTTTAAGATGCAAATACTGTACTTTCTACTATTTTCCTGATAATACATTATACATAAAGTTTTGCTAATTTTACTGAATTATAGGATCTGAATACATCTTACAATATATGAAAATGTCCTACAGTAAAAAAACACAATAAGTGACTCATAGTTTATCATTTTGCATTCCTTTCAGTTTATTCATCAGAAATAAATCATATCCAACAACTGTTCAGACTTTATGTGACTTTATGTCTCGAATGCATTGACAGTGATCTCCATCACGTTAAACATGTCTGCTGTGTTTCCATCCTGCTCTCCCTCTCCCTGACCCCTCTCTCTCTCTCTCTCTCTCTCTCTCTCTCTCTCAGAGGCTTTCTAAATAAGATGTATAAATAGGCTGATGACACAACTGTGCCCTTCACAAAGACACAGAGGAGAGAGAAAAGAGAGGAGAACAGGACTCTGGCTTTAGTCACGGCCGCTTTATTCTTCTGCTTTTCAGAAGCACAGGTTAAAAGGCAGCCATTTTTCTTTTCAAGCCTCCCTCCCCTCTCATCCCTCTTTCTCTCCCTCTCTCTCCCCCTCTCGCTCTCTGAAACAGGTCGTCTATTGTGGCGGCTAGCGAAAGGCTACTGTGGCATTTATCAGAGAGGAGTAGGAGGAGGAGGAGGAGTGGGGGGAGAAGACAAAACACTCCCAATAAAGAGATAGAACAAGAGAAAGGGAAGAAAGGATGTGTATGAAGGCCACTTTTTTTTCCATCTTCCTTTACAAAGCCCCCCCCCATCCCACCCTTTCCACCCCCCTGCTCCTCCAGGCTAGCTCAGACAAAGGAGGCCCGACTCTCATAATGTGCTCCCTCCTTTAGCCCGGCACACTTTATATCCTCACTCCATTCACTGCTGCTTCTTGAGAGCACCCACGTGTGTGCAACGTATGTGTGTGTGTGTGCGTGTGTGTGTTTTTATGGAGTTTGTAATGGTGGTAGTGGGGGTCTATGTTTGCTGAGGGTCTTATAGACCAAGGGGCCAGGGCTCTGAGGTGTTACTATGGAAACGCCTTTGAGCAGTAAGGAGCACAACAGGTGATTCTGCTGAGGGCCTGTTCGTCTCAGCTTTGAGAAACCGCAGGGGGTCTTTGCTGCATGTGTGTGTGTGTGCGCATGTGTTTCACAAGTATAGCTGCATATGCTACAAACAACTTAGTGCCATAGGTCTTAACCAGCTCCAATAAACTGGAGATCATGTCTGAAGTTGCTGGCTGGCTGCTGAACACTGGCCCGGCACAAAGACCTGACTACACAGCAGATATAGCAGGATAGTGTCTGAAAATAGGAAAACACAGAAGGAACACTGCTGGAAAAAAAATTCTCTTTCAATTCCCTTGAGCTCTTTTGTCGGTGTTTATAAGCACCGCAAAAGAGGTCGAAATGTCAAAGAACCCAGTCGATTCACGCAGAAATTCAAGAGCAAGAAGAAAGATGAAAAGCAGGGCCATGAACTGGGAAACAAGAGCAGCAGGTGGGGGGGGGGGGTCATTTAGGGAAATGGAGTGAAAATATATATTTAAAGCAGCTATAATGTGACATTGTGAAAGGCGTCGCTTGTAGGGATGAACCTACAGTGAATCTGCAGCTCCTTCCTGCTTCACAGAGCGATAAAGTGAGTTTCAGCTCATTGTTTAGCTGTCCGGCTGCAACTTTACTGTTTTGGTTCACTGTCACTGGAAACCGCACCATTAGAGACTGATAGCCGGCTCGATAGGCTCTCACCCTAATTTAGAATTCGTGTTGGAACACTTTCCTCCATGCCACAAAATCAATGACTTTTTGAAGAGAACACAAGGAAGAAAAGCTCATGTAGAAAACTATATTTCCTGTTGTCTTTATTCCTTATTGAGCAGCAATGGTTAAAGGTTAAATCACTGGTGAAGACCAGCCTGATCAGACAGACAAGAGTTAACTTTCAAAAGGATAAGGCTTGTGATTTTGTGTGTATTTAGTTTTGTGAAAAGACTACAATGTATTGATCCTCTTGTGTAATATATCTTATTCCTGTGTGTCATTACTGTCCAAAAACACATCAGTGAGCTACACTGTTGCACTGGGTGACATGTTCTTTCATTACAATGAACACTCACATATATTTTGACTCAATCCCACATACATGTCCTTTTACCTTAAATGCTCACTAGAGCACTAAATGTGTGTGTTAATCTGCATCTTAAAATAGTCCCTAAAAAATGCACTATTTACTCCTGTTTGAGTAATGTTTGCTGAAAATCACTAAATCAGTAAATCAGGTTGTACTTTTTATACCAGAAACTATATGTTTGTGATCTGCATCTTCAGTGGGAACCAACCCACAGAGATGCACGTTATTTGCTCTGCTCAGCTGTGCATTTAAAAACAGAGAGAAGCAAAGAGAAAAGCACCGGCAGTCTCAGTGACAGTAATGTTTATGCAGGTCATCATTCAGAACTCTGACTGGAGATTGTACTTTAACACCAAGAGTCAGTGGAGGGAAAGATGTCCTCTTTGTGACGGGTAAACAACATAAAGTGCATTACGTGACGCTGGCAGTGGTTGTCAGACTGGAGGCTGCAAGATGAGTTACTAACTACACTACTGTTTTATCATTGGAGGAGAATGCTGACCAGTGTTTGCACAAGTTGCAGGGGTTTTTGTTTTTAGAAGCTGATAAAGTGGTTAAATGCCACATGCAGAATTTTATCTGGGTGGTTTCTCCTTCAATTGTGTTACACAACAGCTAATGATAAAACAAAGATATATGACAGGGAAAATTTTTTTAAAAATCCTTATCTGACTGCGGAACAACGAGAGTGAGCTGCCTGAGAGCGGCAAACAGAAGAAGAAAAGTTTAGTTTGTAACTGACATACGATCTATATGCTCATCTATGGCTTCACCGCTGCCGCAATATAGCCATCTCAGACACAGTGAGGTATACAACACATCATGCAATTTCTGTTTATTTCCCCGGTGACTTTACAGGCTTGATCCCGGCATTATTTAAATAGCAGTGCTCAGGAATGGGGGATAACATGATGGGGGACAGAGATAGCTCACTGCACAGGACGGAAAAGTGATCGCATGACTTTCAATGCATTATCATGTTCAGATCCAGTGAGCGCAAGATAAAATGCAGCAAAAGCCGCTGTTATATCTGCTGCGGTCGTTCAGAAACATGTTTTACTTCACTGAAAGAATGACATGTAGAAAAGTAAAAGATTTTAAAGAGAGACCTGTTTTTCTTCCCTTTATTGGAACCTGCAGCGATATTAAATGCCTATGTGCACCATGAATGGGAAGTCTTATTATAGTTCAAAGAAGAGATGTTTCACATGTTACAGAGACACCACAAATGTTAATGAGTCAAACAAGCAGCCAACTTGTACAAAGCAGTCACATAATGGCCTACTGTCGCTTTAGATTTCACTGATTTTGAAAGGAAATGCAAATCGTGCCACTGCTCTGGAGCAGACAAACGGTCTCTGGTCATTTGCAAATGACCACAAACACATGTGTGCACACATACACACACAGACATAACAAACAGCTACAGAATAGGAGTCCTGTGTTTTTACTAAAAAAACTACTTAATGTTTCACATGACAACAGAGGTGCGTTGTTTGAGCCCATGGGGAAAGTCATGTAAATGAACCAGGAAACTGCTGTGTTTTTATTTGTGTGCAGCGCTCATGTATCAATAGAGTGTTTGTGAATACTCATGATCGGTGCAGAAATAAACAAATCGGCTGGAAAACGGATGGCAACAGGCTGATCGTACCTGTTCCTTTAGTCACAGCAAACAAAACGACATCTGTTTGCGCGCTCTTCTCTGATGGCAATGCAAATCTATTGGTTAACACAGGAAAAGTCCTAAAAAGCAGCTGAAATATAGCCTTTTTGTCATTGTTGCAGTGTAAAATGTCAAACTGTCTCTGTATGAGTGTATGTCACAATCATACCTTTATTATGCCTTCATGATCACTTTCTTTCATAAAAGCTCCACATTTATCATCTCAGCAACACCAAATCCTCTCCCTAAAGGCTCTTTAAATTGAGACGCAGATTTGACAGCATTTTAAGGACACATATAAAACATATAAACCTGCCCATTCACGTCTTGTATGCTAAACAATACAGGCCGTCATGTGACGAGCATAATGGGAACAGGGAGACAAAAGAAACCTGTAGTTACGGTTCTTTGACAAACATCAGAACTGGAAAAAAAAAAGTCACATACTTCCCAACAAAAGCTTCCCTCTCAACTCTATATTTAATGAAACACACCTTAGTCCTGTAGGAGCTTGTATTTTGACATCGCGTGCTGGATGAACACACACACACACACACACACAGGTAGTAAAGAAGTTAAGAAAACCTCAAAGTGCTTTTTTTTTTTTTTTTTTTTTAGGGATTAGAAAGTGTTCCAAAGTGGCATGAGAAATGCAGGGCAGCGTTCAAGGATGCTTCCGCTCTTTCTCCCCCAGCGCTGATTTACAGCTGTTGATAAATAGCCTGCCTTGGCTGAAAGCGCAGGCTTTACTCCTGCATTATTAGCGCGTCATTATGAGCTTATGACAGCGTCCACGGATGAGTGAGCGCACATTCAGAGCACAGCTGGCAGAGAGCACATTCACTTTGTAATGGCATGTTATTCAAAATCCCTGTTTAATCTCCAGCTTTATAGAATAGAAACCTAAACATTACCTCTCTCTCTCGCACACACACTCACAAAGGAAAAAAAAAGGCAAGATGTGAAAACAGATATGTGAAAAGGCGACAAAATGTTTAACCTTGAGAGTGAAGAGGCACAGTCACATTATTGAGGCTTGTTAAAGAGTTCGCTGCACGTAAGGCAGGAATCTTACCTTGACGGTGTGTGTAGATGCTCACAGGGTTGTGTGTGTGCAGCTGCTGTTGTCTCTAGGTGTCTCTGAGAATGGCCCATCACCAGTATAACCCCTGCACTTTATCACCGCCCAGCGTGAGCCACTGTGTGTGTACACTTCTGTGTGTGTTTCCTATGAAGTTCCTGCAGTCACCTCTTTTTCTTCCTCTGCCAAGGCAACAGGTGGAAAAGTGTCTTTAAAAAGTCCCGAGAAGAATGGCGAGAGGAGGCGTTAAGATGAGGCAACGGGAATCAAAGAACCGTTCCACCTTTGTGTTTCCTTGACAAAGAGATGAATTCTAAGAGCTTCTCCTGACACGCTTAACATCTCCGCTCATAATTACTGCGCTCCCTGGCCCTGTTTTCTAGATTCAGAAAAAAAATGAAGGCGAGGTGCATCTTGACACTTAAAAGATGACCAAGAAGGTCTCACGTCAGGCATAAAAAGAAGACTTTTCTCAGAACTCACGCTGAATGTGCTGGATTTTGTTCTTTGTGGTAGAGAATCATTAAAGACAGCGTGTTGGGGGGTCATAGTGGTTCAACATGAGCATAACAGGCTGTTACATAATGCAAAAGAGGACATTGTGGGGCATAGAAACTGACTGTGATATCACGCTCTTATCAAGGATGTAGTGAAGAATTAACCTGAATAATCTCATTTTATTCAAGTCACAGAAGAAGATGAGAAAAACTTTTACCTTTCACACCCATGAAGCCTGAATAGAAAGATGAATTATGCAGCATAAATTCATAATTGACACCACAATAAGTTACATCAAACTGCTGCCACCACCTCCACAGCACCTCTAAGCAATATAGACAACGGCTTTAAAATGAAGCTGCAAATGACAATTATTCTCTGGATTCCTGAATCTTTTAGTCAATAAACTGTTAGACGATAGTGACACACATCTGACGCAATTTCGGTGACATATTGAAATTACTTCTTTTGTCTGACCAACAGTACAAAACGCATACATATTCTTTTTACTATCATATAAAACAAAGAAAAGTAAAAAGTACACACATCTGTGAGCCGAAGCTGAAGTTTGTGAAGAATAGAGAACAGAGTTTCATTTTCTGTTGATGGATTAATCAACTAATCCTAATGCATTATTGGTAATGCTGCTGCTATAGCACAGTCTACTTAAAAAATAATTTTTTGCTGTATTCTGTACATAAAATAATAAAAAAAATAATAATGTGTAAAAAGTCAAAGTAACATAGAGTTACAGTACAAAGTAGTAATGGATTTGAAGAACTGAAAACATGTTACATTGTTGCAAGAAAAGTCAAGTGAGCACACACTGTAGGTCATAATTAAAACCCTCTTTTTTGCCTGCGTCCTCACAATGCCAGAGATTACTTTTGGTCAATTCTAGCCAATTTTAATGGATCTGTAAAATATTCTTTTCATGGTATTTGCTTCTAACTTTTTTGTTGTTGATAGGTTGTTGATGAACTGATCTCTTTATACATCTGAACTGGATATTATCATTTGTGCTCTTTTGTAGCGTGTGACAGCCTATGTATAGGCCTGTATTGTATTTACTCTTGTAACAAAGTTAATATGCTGCCATCTTCGACAGGTCTCTATTTAAAAAAGAAATTTTAACATAAATAAGATCTGGTTAAATAAAAGGAAAATGAGAATGAATTTAGGTCTCACTCAAGGGCAATTTGATAATAATAATAATATAGCCTACTGTATATCACAATAGGGCAAATATATGCAATGTTATGACTGCAACTAACAAATATTTGCATTATTTATTAATTTGTCATGGTGAAAATGTCAGAAAACAGTGAAAAGTGATGGAAAGTTTGTAATTATGCTTAAAAAAAGTCACGTCATCATTTTAGCTCCAAATGTAAAAATGTTCAATAACTTATCAATTTTTTATTTACGACTGAGTCAGTCATTAATTTGACAGCAATGATTTTGAATTATCGCTCAGCCGCAATCAGTCTAGATTTTTTGGAAGCTTACCAAATAAGCAGTGAAAGGTATAAAATATGTGACATAAATAAATGATGAAAAATGTTGATGCTGAGCAGTCTAAACTTTCAGTCAGAGATAAAACTGTTGACCGTCCGCGTGTTTATCAGTTAGTCAACCAGCTGAGTGTTTCAACGTTCACAGTTCTGGTAATTCTTCCAACGGAGACAATGCAGCCAGAGGGTTTTATTTAAAGAGATCATAAGGCTTCCCCAAACCCTGCATTGTTCTGTGTGATTGGCTTGGCCTCACACTGCGCTAAAGGAGAGGCTGAGGAGTACACACACACACACAC